AAGACAATAAAGTAAAACATCCAGATTACACCCTGAAATAATCCGGACGCAGAAAGGATAGCAAGACTGGCTACCGAGACTCTTATTTGATGGGGAACTTTCAGACTTAGCGACCATTTTTTGGCTTTTCTTCTGTCTCGGCAATGGCTGCAATGGCCTTCAGTGCCGGATCAAATTCCCCATCTTCATAGATAATTCCGACTATTGGCCCATTGGTTGAGTAGGCAAAGGTTTGCTCATCATATTAGAGGCATCTTCATCACTAAGCACTATTGCCTTGACCTCGATGAGGTCTTCCACTGCTCTCTTAAGAGTCCAACAGTCTTCTGTATCATGTCCCACTACTCCAGAGTGGTATTCACATCTAGCATTAGCCCGGTATGAGGGAGACTCGGGGCTTGGCCGGTTCGGGGCCGCTGGCTGCAGCAGACCTAGCCTGACTAGCTTTTGGAACAAACTCGAGTATGATTCACCAATAGGGGTAAACTGATTCTTTCTGAAAGGCTCTCTTGGGCTAGGATTATATTGGGGATCATTTAGTTGGGGGATTATATGGAGCTTGGTAAGAACGGGCATTTCTGGGAAGTGGATCTCGATTTTGTGTATAATGCAGTGGCTGTATGTAAGGTTGCGCGTTCATCACCGCATAGGGAGGCGGTGCAACGGCCTGTGATGTGGCCTTAAAGGCAGCATAACTCAAGATTCGACCCATTGTTTAAACCATTTTCGATCATCTCCCTAATTTTGATAGCCTCGGCGAACGGATTACCCATGGCGGACATCATGTTCTGGAAGTAGTCCGCCTCTTGGGCCTGTTGGAAAACCATAACCATTTCTTCTTATTCCATTTGAGGCTTTACCATAGTGGCTTGTTCGCCCCATTTGACAGCATATTCACGGAAACTTTCCGTTGTTTTCTTTGTCAAACTGGACACAAAGTTCTCTTTTTGGATTATTCACTCTTGCTTTCTTTTTTTTCTTTGTTATTTTTGTCACTCTTTTCTTTCTTTTTCTTTCTTCTCTCTTCTTTTTTTTCACTCAGTTTATTTGATCGCAATGATCGAATCCGATGGGAATTGCTTACGTATCATGACGTCGCATGAATCAGATCTTGCGTAGTTCGGAAGATTAGGAATAGACTAACCCATTTTTTTCCTTTTATAAAGATTTTTAAATATGTTTTTTTTGAGTTTTTTGAGTTTTTTTTAATGGAATTTTTGGATTTTTTTTTAAAGAAAGAAGAAAATAATTGGGATTTTGATTTAATTAATTATTTTTTTCAAATGAAAGACTTCGGAAAAGAAGGAAAATATTTTTGGATTTAGTTTTCTTTTTGGGATTATCTAAGAAAAGAATTCTAAAGAGGGAATTAAGAAAAAAAGAAAAATATTTTTGGATTTTTTTTTTGAAAATTTGGAACCGGAACTGATGAGGTTTGCCTACGTATCTCACGTTCGATGAGAATCAGACCCGCGTAGTTCGGTCAAACCAACTTTTTTTTTTTTTTATGAAAATTAATCTTTAAAAACCATATGCACTAGACCATGTCATCATTTTTTTTTCTCTTTTTGTTTTTCTCTATTTATTCAACTGATTTATGCTAAAGTTGGTCAACATGCAAGCCTCCCAAATAATGCAACAAGTAGCACATAACATGACATAATGGTCTCAACAAGGTACTTGTCCTAAAACAGAACTTGGCCCATGTGCCGACCCCTGCTAAGTCAAATGCACGTGATGCAAATAAAGCGAACCTACTAGGGATATCCGGCATGAGGTTTGTTCTTCTAGGTTTAAATCCTGGTAGAGAAGGTGTTTAGACTGGCTTACTCGACTGGACAACTCGAGCCGAGGAGGGTCAGCGTACCGGTAGCATTGCTTTCAGGCTTAGCTGGTGGTGTTCCCCGCCTAAAACATGTACGACTAAAATCCTTCACCGAGTGACAAACACCTCGGCTATCTCAAAGAAAGCGGGTTAAGTCAAAAAAATGCCCAATTTAGATTTCAAGAAGACTCAGAGGGGGTGCGAGAGAAGACAGTTTATAGGTACAGTTCAACAATATCAAAGCGATAAAAAGCAAACAAGTAGCACATTAAGCCCAAATAAAATCACAGTATATACAAAATTAATAAATTCAAATAAAAGTCAACATGTACAAGCTCAAATTCTGGTTAGTTCCCTAGCAGAGTCGACATAGCTGTCACATCCCTTTTCTACCCCCAAGAAAATTCTCTTTCTTCCTCCGATCATACGTATTTCATACATTCCAGATATGGAGTTGGGTAAAAATTTATGTGATTCGGTAAACAAAATAGAAATACCATCATTGCTAGATCATTTATCTAATCTATCTAATTAGATGAAGAATGAACCAATAGTGGTATTTTTTGATAAATGGAAAATTAAAAATTCTCGGGGATGGAAATGAGGAAATATCTACAATACCTGATTTTAATCAGATACAATTTGAAGGATTTTGTAGGTTCATTGATCAAGGTTTGACGGAAGAACTTTATAAGTTTCCAAAAGCTGAAGATATAGATCAAGAAATTGAATTTAAATTATTTGTGGAAACATATCAATTGGTCGAATACGATATATGTGTTATGGATGATGAGTTAAAGAGTTTTTCCAATTAAAGTGACAAATCTGAGTAGGAATTATTTTATTTACAGAGTCGCCGCTTGGAATAGATCTTTGGGTGTTTCAAGTCACCTTTTATTTGAATCCCTATTCAAAGGAAGACTTGACTCTTTTATTATTGGTCTGCGAAAATAAAGTCCGGGTAAGAAATTCTGTTGACCAAGGAGAAGGTGTAAGGCATTCTCCGAGTCCCGTGGTTCTAGCACGGTCGCTTTATTAACTACAACTTGGCTTGAATTAATTTTGGATAAACTATGATTTATTGATTTCCATGTTTTATCTATCGGCTTTTAAAATATGGAATTATCTTTGAAACGAATCACATGTATGAATTCGTTTTGTTTATTGTGCCAAAATCATGTCACGCAATGTACATAATCACGACAATAAATTAAACGCGCCTAAAGCATCCTACGAATATTCATGAGTGATTTTTCCTAAACTAATTTGAGAGCATCAAGTAGATTAATTAAAAAAAAAAAAATGGAGGCTAGCTTATAGATTGTCATGCAAATGGGCTAACTCTAAAAATGGATCAATAGTATGACATATGAAAATGGGCTTGGCAAAATTTCAGCTTATAGGCCCAAAATTTCTTTCCCTTCAAGGTTAAACCCATAACCAATATAAAAGCCCAAACCTTAAACGTATTCCTAGCAACTTTCTTGCTTCCCAGATATTTACATTAGAACAAAAACGTCCTTGCATAAAAAATCAAAGCTAATAACCCAATCAACATTTCAATAAAGAAAATCAAAGAAAACAGTAGTATAATCTCGTGTAGTCACTAAAGAAAACATAGACATGAAAAGAAAAAAGAAAAAAAAAGCAATAATAGTAAAAAATGGAATAAAAGTATAAAATTGGAGATGGATTGAACACTAACTCAAACAACAAAGTAAGGTGACATGATAATTATTAGAATAAAGTAGTAAAAGAATAGAAAGAACGGACATTTGGTATAAATCAACGAAATTGAAATTACAAGAGGTTAAACAACTCGACAATTCTTGACCGGCGCTTTCGCCGGCGGACACGGACGGAACCGGCAACTCGAGACCTCAACGGCGACCGCAAACTCCACTTCGATCCCCCCCTGTTTAAGTTCAAAGTGGGGTTGTTCGGGGGTGCTTTAATGGTTGTTTCGAGCTGGATTTTGGGTGAGTCTTAGGTGGCTTTTCAAGGTGATTAATGGTATGCTTTCAGCTAAATTTTGAGACTGATTTTCGCTGAAGTTTATGGGGTTGTTTTGGGACTGTTTTTGTCCTGTTTTAGGTACTGATTTTGCTATGTTTTAAGAGTGATTTCAGCTTCGTTGTTTGAGTGCTTTTGGGTGGTTATGGACTGTTTTTGAAGCTGTTTTGTGGCTATTTTTTAGCAGCATTTTTTGCTGCGTTTTTAGAGCTGAAATTTCAGCTTTTCATGGCTGAAAACGAGCTGGAAGTGGGTGGCTTTTTCAGCTTCATTTGGGGCTGTTTTGGATGGGTTTTGGTGTGTTTTTGCTGTTAGGTTTGCTGTTGATTTTCAGCTGGAGTTTGAATGGCTAAAGGTGATCTCACATGGCTAAAAATAGATCAAAGAAAATGACTGATTTGTGGTTAGGTGGTAGAAAAAAGATGAAATAGAAGAAAGGAGGTGTGGCTTTTTTTTTTTTCCCGCAGATCTGTGCCTTCTTTTCTTCGCCCCCCTCTCAATGTCTCTCTCTATCTATATTCCCCCGTTTCTCTGCAAAGAATCTCCCCTCTTTTTTGACTTTTCTTCTTCCCTTTTTTATTTTTTCTTCCCTTTTTGGCTTTCCTCCTCCCTTTTGATTTTCCTCCTTCCCTTTTTGACTTTTTGTTATATGTGTTTTCGGGTAGAGATGAATCTTCTTTTTTTTTTTTGTGTGTCCGTGTGTATTGGTGGAGGAATTATGTGAGGGAAGTGCAGGGAAAAAGTGAGAGTGAGTGGAAAAATATTCACGCATAATTAAAAATTAGGTGCTAAATAGATACATAAATAGAAAGGGGGTGAGAGGACAGACTCAGAGAAAGGGAGAGGGAACTTCACAATACAATCGCCTACCTTATTTTACTAACTTACTGCTATTTAAATATTTTTTAATCCGGATCCCACATATAATTTGTTAAATTTACCAATACGTCCTCCAAGATGTTATTTCCATTCATAACAAATTGTTAGCCATTCTTCTTTGTTTTCAAGCACGAAAAGAAAAAGAAAAAGGATTATTATTTGTTTTTGTTAGTTATTAAAATTTTGAATAAGAAGAGGAAGTTTATAAGTCGTGGCGCATTGAAAGACAACAGCTTATTTTTTTTCCCACATGCTGAAAAGATCGGGGGCCGTCACTTCTCTGGTTGCAAATTTCGCCTCTTCTTTCTCCAAACATTTATCGTCACCGCAAATGTAAAAATATGCAACTAACTAATATGAAAGTCAGCAAATAGTTTCCTCACTTCTCTGTTACTCTTCTGTTTTTGCCTCTCTCTCACACTCATCGTTCAAAGCCTAGATTCTCCATCTTTCTTATGTTCTAAAGATGGCGGGATCTAACCAAATATCTACCTTTGAATCAGTGAGGGAATGGGTCTCCGACCACAAGCTTCGCACCGTTGGTAATTTCTCAGAAAAATCCTTCATCGTTTATAAATTTCTTTTAGAATATCAAATAGCTTTGGTTATTTGATTTGAATTCCATGTTGTAAAAGGAAAAAAAATGTGACTCGCTGAGAACTCATTATGGGGTGAGTTAACCTTAAAATAACTGTGGAAATAAAGTCACATGGAACAATGATTCAGCATATGGACATTTATTTCATGCACATCTTATATCTCGATTGTGCTCATTACACATTAGAGTATTCTGTTTTGTGCTCCAGAATATATTATTTTCAGCTTTCTTATAAGTACTTAATTTTTCCAAAAACAATACACCATTCTATGATTAAAAATTGGTTATTATGTCTAGATAATTGAGTCAATTTAGTACATTTTTTCTTTGAATACAGATTTTGATATCCTTGACGATTTCTAGCAATACATTTAATTCGTCTTGTATTTTTGTTCTATTAAAAATAACGCTTACGTCCTCCACATTATCCGATTTATCGTTCTTTAACTGATTTGGATGAATGTTTTCCCAAGGATGTCTCTGGCTAAGCGGAATAACGGGATCAGTCGCTTACAATTGGTCAAAACCCAACATGAAAACCAGCGTCAGGCTCATCCATGCGAGGTACCAATTCATTCATTCGCCGATTACCACATGTTTGATGAAATGACTATGGTTTACTGATTCTGTGCTACTTTTTTTCTCCTTTCAAAGTGCTAAGCAATTAGCAATATGTGCAAATAGACAATTTACAAGATTTTTACATTATTTGTGTATCTTAACCTGTTGTAACAGGATTTTTTTTTTTATATTACTCCACTAAATCTGACTTACTATTGGCAGCTAGATGTTATAAGTTATTTTTACACGATGGATTAAATAAACCATGGACAAACAGTGTAAAGTTAACTTCAATTTTTTTTGTTAATGTAAAATTAGGTTGCACGCACAGGCACTCACATTAGCCGCGTTAGCTGGTGCTGCGGCCGTTGAGTATTATGATCATAAAACTAACAAAAATGCCGAAAGATATCCCAGGTTCCTTGACATGAACTCGTATGCACAGAAGAAATGAACATGCCGCCTTCAATGGACAAAGCATTGAGCACACGATTCAATTTTTGTGCATTTTTGTGGGTTTCCTTTATGTTAAATTCTTTACATGGTAGCATGAGTCATTTTCTGGCTAACATGTGTCTCTTGTGTATTGAGTAAATGGACCAAAACCTACAGCATTTTGCTCTCTACTTTTGGTTTCTTTCCTCTTTTCTTTTTTTCTGTGTGTTGAGTAAATGGACAAAATTGTTAATGGTTCGGATCTTTTATGTCAATTGATTATTATCATAGAGGTTATAAGGTTATACGCATATTCTTTTGATTCATTTTGGAATTTGGCGTTAAACAAGTTTATTTTTTCTTTGAAAATCAATTCAAGCAGTATCCGAGAACTGTCTTGCGTACAAATCAACCAAAAAAATGCAAAAGGAACGTTTTGGATGATAAGCTAGCTATTAGTAGTAGATGCTTAAATCATTGAAATAAATAAGTTCTCTTACTCAAATGTGACAAGTTGAAAGGGATTTTCATCATTCAAACACTGGTATTGTGGTGAAAATAAATGCTTTTCCTTCGGCAAAACGTGTTGGGTTTTAAGCTTAGTTTAGCTTAAAAGAGGTGAATGAAAAATATAGGGAAAAATAAAATTTTAATTTTTTTTCCTTGATAAAGTGATATTGTCCCATATTGGAGGAGGAAAAGACCTTTGATGGGTATATATACAATTGCTCTTCTTCTAGCTCTTAAAGAGTTACGAAGAAGACAAGCCTAGCGTCGTCGTCTCCATTGTCATGGGCGGCTTTCCAGCCATGCCCCATGACCCCTTGGACGCGCCCCGTGGCGTCCTGGCAAGCCTCCCAACGCCAAGTGCCACAGTTGGCCCCGTGGTCTCGGCAGCTCCAAGTGACAAGCGCGCATGTGCCTCTGTCGCCCCACCGCTAGCCATCGCCAGCGCCCAGCCACAGGCAGACGCCAACAGCGCCGCGCGCGCAGATTCTGATGCTAAATACAAAGTTGCTGCCAACAGACCTGTTTCTACTTTGTAGAAGACTAAGTCCTTTTCATTGTAAATATAAAGTAGTTTTACTGTATTTTCTTTAAGTGTGTTGATCTCGGCCAAACCCACACCACAATTAAATAGTGAAGCGGTCGATGCAATGATAAACCCAATTAAGGTCGGGATCGAATCCACAGGGAGTTAGAAAATGAGATTAGGTGTATATCTAAGTTAATTGCAAGTTTTGGCTCAAATTACCCTTCCACAAACTTGATTGGTGTTCTACTTCTACTTTACTCTATTGTTTGCAAGTATAAAACTAAGGACAATATTTTTGGTTTTGAGTTTTTCAAATGATTAAAAGGGACTAGGGTCGTGACTTCTACCTAGGTGGTTATCTAGTGGGTTATAAACTCCAGGGCAAATTTGATTAGTTGAGGTCGTGATGTAGTAATCACATCTGGATACTCACTCTATACCTCTTGGTAGTTTGAGTGATTTTTCCCAAATTGGCTTTCTCAAGCCCAATTGGGTATTTGCACAATACAAGTGATATTAGCTCAAGTTGGGTATTACTATCTTTAGCTTTAACCCTTTAATTGGGGCTATCAATTTTTTGAGTTCACCCCAATTTCTTGTTAGCTAAGTTTTCCTAGACTTAGTCTCTCTTTCTCAAGTAGAGGCTAAGTCAAATGGGCATGAATCAATGTTTGCAACCATTGATTCTAGGGTTCAATCATGAACAAGGCTAAATATCACTAACCCAATCAAAAATAAGCCCTAAATTAAATACCCATACTAGGGCTGGGTCACAACCCTAGCTAAAGATTTAGCTACTCATAAAAAATAAAGAAATACAAGAAGAAATTAAGATAGAATGCATAATAATTGATTAGACAAAGAAAATCTAATGTTAAGAAGTTAATCTAGTACAAAATTACTCAATACAGTTTAAAAAAAAAGGCTTAGGTGCACTTCTGAAAACTCAACTTAACCTTAAAATGACAAAAAGTTCTATTTATACTAAGCTAAAAATATCTGAAAAAAATGCCCCTACGAAGGTTGTGCGGCCGCATAATTCTGGTGCAGTCCGCACAATGAGCTACTGCGGCTGCACAATTATTGTGCGGTCCGCATTCTTGGGAACTTGGGCTTGGAACTTGGGGACTTCTGCGGTCCGCATAAAAATGGGTGCGGCCGCACTTATGATTATGCGGCCGCACAAAACTGTTGCGGTCCGCACTCCTTGCTTTTTTGGACTTGACACAACACTCTGATTCTTCAACCTTGCGGACCGCATAATAATGAATGCGGCCACACTTGGCCTCCTGCGGCCGCACAATTTCGGTGCGGTCCGCATGCCTTTAGCTGACCCAAAAACTACTCTCCGAATCTCCCCTATGCGGCCGCACTAGAATTGTGCAGTCCGCACTGCTTGCCTTTTTGCCCTGTTTTGGTTCTTGTTCACTTTTGACTTCTTTATGAGTTGATTTTGACTTCTTTAGCTCGTGTCCCAATATTCCTGCAAGTAAGCACATTTTGTTAGTTTCCGGAAATGCCTTTAAGAATTTTTTAGCTAAATCGCAAGTAAAAAAGAGCAAATAATCGGTCAAAATCCCCACTTATCAGCTCCCCCAAACTTAAGCTTTTGCTTGTCCTCAAGCAAATAAGGCAATTCCCACCTCCACTAGAAAAAGAGATATTTCAGTTGGCTTAAGGTGAATCAATCACACATCAATTGGGACCAATAATTAACCACAACACATATGAATTATCAACAATGCAATGATTTTCTAATGTGTCACTAGAGCATTAAGAGTTGACTCTATTCATCAAGGAAGCTCGTTCTTTCGCGTAGGTCATTGTGGATCCCAAACTCCTCCTCCTCTACTCTCCATTAGCACATCTCACTTTATAATGCAGCACTCGATACAAGGATTGTGAAAAGTTCGCTCATCTCTCTCAAAAGAATGCCACAAGTCCGACTCTAAGTACCATAAGCTTGCCCCTCATGTAAATCACCACTAATGTAAGCTCACTCAACTTGAAATCATGTAGGGCTTTTGCGGGATGTAATGAAGGCTTTTAGACCAAGGTAGGATTTGTTGGAATAGAATGGTTTCATCTTTCCTTAAGCACTCCATTTTCTCTTTTCGGCCCATACTTTCTCGACTCTCTGAGTCATTTTCTTCTTCCTTTGGGGAACTAGAGAGACGTAACGTCGCTCTTTCTTGATCATGCCATTCATTCTTCTCCTTTTCTATTTACTTCAGCCTTTTATCCTCATTTTCTTTTGAATTCCCTTCAACTTTTCACTTTATTCACTTTCTTTTTGTCATTTTTTTTTTTTTTGCCTTCCCTTTTCTTTATTTCTTTCTCTTCTTTGTACCTTTTATCGCTGCAAACTCCTCGTCTCTCCCCCAAACTTATGTTTTTACCAATTGTTTCTCAAGAATGTTAAGGAAAGATTGGGTGCCAAGAGAGGGCCATTTCAGAACGGATAAAGGCTTGTAACTTGGTTATTGAAAGACAAAGGCTTCGGCTCAAAGGGGTTGACAAGAGATATCACATTGGTAGGCTATGGAAGATTTCAATTTCAAATTGGATCAAGGAGAGCCTACAATCATTTCTCAAGCCAAGCTACACTTAGAATTTCGCCTAGAAAAACACTCGGGGCAAGTTCTAGACTATCGGCACGGAAACTTGGACTTGCAATTCAATACCTCACCTCTCACACTGTTGGATTGCTAAAGAGAACGGAGTCGAGGGCCCACAACAGCCCTAGCTAAGATTGAGAATCACAAATGGTCGACTGAACCACTCGATGACTGTTTGAGTCAACACAAGAGTCTAAAGGTCACAACTAGAGCTATTTTATGCCAACAACTTTGTTTTTAACCATAAGGTCAGAGGTAAATGTGTTGGTACCAAGTGAAGCAAGCTCGGGATACTTTTATTCATTACTACTATATTTTGTCAAAACATAAAAAAAACAGATTCAATCCCTTAAGAAGGTTGTCATGCCATCCATCGTTGGGAAGAGCCACCCGGTTCACGCAAAATCCACCTTTGGAAAAAACCGTGGCATTAAGAAAACCATAGGCTTATTGTTCACACAAAATGTAAATAAGAAGTTATACTACTAAGGAAAAACAAACTAAAGAAGCTATGAAATAAACTACGGAAAGCTAGATAAATGAATATACAAACTGAAGTCAAATGACTATATACATAAGAAAAATAAATATCTACATCAAATGGGAAGAATATATACATACCAAAGGAAAATAAAGACGAAAGAAAAAATAGTATCAGAGTTATTACAGCCCAAATGTCAAATGTCAAAGTCAAATAATCAAAATAGACCACCGCCCAAATGAAAATAAGCATTGTCCTCAATGCTTAACAAAAATAAGAACATGGAAAGGGTAGAGAGTTAAGAGAACTCCCTATGTGGTCTCAGTCTGCATAGGATCATCAGCACCCTCTGTCTCCTCCAACTGTATGTCATCATCTCCTGGCTGAGGGACAATAGGGTTGTTGAGCATCTGTATCATCTCCTCCGCAGTGTGTGCAGTCGCAACCGGCTCCTCAGACTGGCCGGCTGCTGCCTCTGGTGCCTCTGCTAGTGCTGCCTCTGCTGCTGGGACTGTCTGCTCCATAAGGAAGTCCAATGGAAGATCTCCAGCAGATGCAATCCTTTCAACCTCTTTGCTCAGCTTCTCTACCGACTTCTTTGATGACTGGGATCTACGCATCTTCTTGACTTGTTTGCCCAAATCCTTAATGACCTTCCCATGCATCGCCAGAGTATCAACAATGATCTTCTGGTTCTCCAGAATCTTCTTCAACGTTTCCTCCGCTGACGGAGGTACCTGTGGCTCTGCTTGGACTGAAGACTGTGCTGCAACAGTACTGGATATATCAGTTACCTTTGTTGTAGTTGCTTGCATCTAGTTTTTGAGACTTGCCAATGTCTAGGAGGCTCGCAGCGTAGTCTGAGGATATGTAGATGAAGCTGGCTCTGATAATGGCACTTATAGTCTAGCAGAAGCAGGTGGTCCGAAAGATGAGGGTGGCATGGCTGTTGTCCCGGTGAAAGTACCGGCTGCGGTGGAAGGCTCGGCAGCTGAATCAGTAACCACTACCGCTGGCTCTTCAGACTGGCCAGTGGAGGTAGTAGCTTTACCCTTGAATTTTGGGTTGTCAGCTCCCTGAAGGTGGTACCATGAAAAAAGCTTCTTGGCCTTCACTTCTGTATCATAATGCTTCGGCTCCACCCTTTGATCTTTGAAATATTCTGTAAGG